CAGACGGATGAGAACATTCAGACGCCCCTCGTCGATATCCAACGTCCGACCCGCCCTCCACGTCGAAGTCGCCCTTCGCGAACCTCGCAGACCATTTCTGGGCTGTTCTTACCAGCATTGCATCATCTCTATATACGGCACAAATGTCACAAGCGACCGTTGAGCCCTGATTGAATGCGCAGAGTAGCACTTGTCGAAAATGCGTTTTTTTCGTCTATCTGACACTTCATTTCATCACACTGAAGATCCCAAAGAAACAAAACTGCAGTAGATCGTCTAACACAGTTGCTAAGAGCAGAAAACTCCCCATCGATTAGTGTATGACACTCCTCCGGAAAAGTGGAACTTTTGCCGGAATAATTCAGTTTGAATAAAAGCGCAGGAATTTATGCAACAACCTAATACTTCAGACTTCGTTCCGGCTAACTGACCCAGACATGCTTGATGCTGTTTAGTAAAATCATGAGTATCCGGAAAAAGCAATTTCTACGCATTAATATGTTCTTGTTAGCGATGGCATCCGGGAGAATTTTCGGTTCGATCAGAATCTGACTGAATCGATTGTTTAATATTCCGAAATTCGGAATTCTGATCGAAATTCGCCGGATCTTCCCGACCGAGCGTCGGTCGGTTCTCTTGGTTCTTAGGGGAGATGACAGCAAAAGAAAATGAAGCACTCCCATAAAATATCATTTATGAATGCAAGCTCATTTCAAAATTACTTTCAGATTAAATGCAACAACGAATCATTTCACATTGTCTCTTATCATCTGTGACAGACAGAATCACTTCAGAGCATTTATTTTCTTGTTGATAATCCTTATGAAAACACCTGTTTCGGATGAACGAATTCAATCACATATTGAATAAACGAAAGTGCAAATATTCATTTGAGGTTCATTTTGACACTCTATGATTAATGTTCGTTAGGATTGAGGTGAATTGCGGGCAGTTTTTTTGAACAATTACTTTCCGCTTCTCAAAATTATCAGTCATAACTCATGAATAATGTGTTTTTTTAAAGTTCGTTAAATAACATAGAGAGTTAACGAAGTGAGTATTTTGTTGTTCAATAGCAGAATATTATTTCAAATTCATCGTCACATTGTTATCTCATGACGTTTGATAATAATTAACTGATATATGCATGCCGTTTAGGTTGAACATGTTGTCGAGTGGAGTGTTTGCTTTAGCGATGCGTTCATAAGCAAAGCTTGCCACAACAGTTCGTGCTATACGGAACTATGTGTTTTTATCAAAAGCGAATCAGAATGGACATGAAATGCATGCATTCGTTTGCAGAGCTGTTTCTCGTAGCGTTTTAAAGTGACATCTGATTTGCATAGCATCACTCGACTCACCTCTATCGGTTTACACAACAATAATCAAACTGCGATGTGTTCTCATCAACCAAAGCGAGGAACTGTTAATTATGCGCATATGCCAACCGTAAATCGATCGTTCTGAATGAGGCAAGTAAGCGGCACTCGTCACAGGTGATATATATCACTGAACTGAAATTAACTCGCATCTGATCTGTTCGATTATTCGTATCCATCATTTTATACAATTAAGATACTGATTCTAGCATCCTTCCAAGTTACACTCGTCTGAATTCTATTAGTGTCGTATACCGTCATTGCAATTGCACTATTATTATTATTTTCACTGGCGACAAGAATATTTCATTCTATTGTAAANGTCATGCTCACCACTTTCGATCAGTTAAATGCAATTTTCACGTTACCACTTATGAATCGTTTTATTCATCTAAATGAGACATTTTGAATTGACGAATAGCCAAGGAAAATTGTGCTCTAACATACAAATTATCAATATCAAATGATTAAACATCGCGTTCGATTGATAACAAACGAGACGAGTTGGTAAGAAACAAAGTTGTTCATTTACTGATTATACAATGGTGGCAATCACAAGCGCATACCAACTCTTTATCAAAGCGGACATAATCGTACAATTTGATCGAGTTTACTTGATAAATTTGAGCTCTTATTGTGAAAACTATTCACTACGTACATTCACCGGTTAATTAATTCAAATAGGCAATTTTGTAAATGTTGACAAGTGAAAAATGGATTTCAAAGCTGAATTTGGCTGAGATCAATATGTGATTCAAGGTAGGGCGAATATTGTTTCCTGTCACACATACCTATGCTCATTGTTGTGTTCAGTTCTACTTGACAGAATCTTATCTCTTAAAATCAATTTCAACTGCCTTAAAGCTACTAAAAATTGATTGTTATGGGATGATTCGTTTTTGATTGATATGTGCTTCTGATTTATTAAGTTATTTGCTACGTTCATATGCTATTTCGAATCTTTTTTTGCGCTTATCCTCAGAGGCTTATTGCGTTTTCATTAAGCATTCTTATGGCATCGTTAGGCTGGCAAGGAATTTCGTGCTGTGGAATCTTCCACTGCGTTCACGAGTTACATTTATGGAAGAGAAAAGCTCGCCGGAAAGCTCACAGAATCTGGATACGCAACTGAAGAAGCCGTCTGAGGTCAGCTGGAACAGAGAGCGATCAAACGTCCCACTTAATGATAAGGGAATTTGCCTTGATGGGTATTTCGCATAAAGACAATTGGCCTAATAGACATTTCGTTTAATCGACATTTGGACTTATGTAACGATTACGATTGAATGGTAAGCCTTTGACGGCATCAAAAATCAACAACTTGTGAATGCTTGGGGCCGGTACTCTTGAACATCCTACTGTCCACAGGGCTGAGTGCCCATTAAACCAAGTGTCCATTAATTCAAACATCCATTAGAACAAATGTCACAACTGTCCATTAGGCCAAACGTCGTCCATAGGCAAAATATCATTAGGCTGAATGTTCTTAGTCCAGATGTTGTTAGGCTAATCAAATGAATTAAATGTCCATCAGGTCAAATGAACTGTTATCTGGAAGAGCGTGAGTTCCCCTTTCAAGAAATGTCTTCATTGTTTTCGAACAAACCTTTGCAACAAACATAAATTTTATCTAGACAATTAAACAAGCTCTTCAGGAGAGTCCATGGATAGCATATCGTTGCTGTGGTTGCTAAGCAATCCGTCAAGATCCGTCATAGAAAGTATATTGTATAGGATGATGCATTGATTTGTTCTATTTTCGTTGTTTTATGCCGTCTTCTAAAACAACTACAATGTTCGAATTGATTTACAATGATGAATTATTAATTAACACGATTGCATGTGAACAAACTCAGTTGCAGAGTAATGTATTCGATAGCCGATTACTGACGCTGTTGCTCAAACCATCTTTAATTCTTGATCCAACTCAATTCCCTTTAAAAATTACACATTCAAAAATTTTTTCCATAAAATGTCTTCATGTATCCCAAAAACAATTGAATTTTGTGCATGAAAACATGGATAAATAATGCGTTATTAAAAATTCATAGTGGATCAATGAAATCAACGCTTACAGTTTATCAAAGTTCTCATCAATACCCACTTGTTGCGTGCGGTACGCTTCATTCATTGTTGATTGTTTATTTGATTATTTTTTATGCGAAGGAGTCTTCCTATGGCTAGTCATACATGATCAAATGGTCTGTTCGACATTTCAAGAATATTCAGCATCATTTCATTCATATTCATCGAAACCGATTGCGGAATTTACTTCTATTTTCCAATGAATCTAAAATTTCGATCTGATTTCAGATATATTTGTTTGTTTTCGTGAGATGTAACACTATCGTATGTCACCTCTAACAACCCAGTCAACGAGGCAACAATGGCACCACGTTTCAAGAATCGCTACCTCGTGATTTTTATCGCCGCTTTAATCGGCCTGTTTTTATTGGATATTATTTCATCATTTCTCGTCGGCCATTCATCATCTGATTTGTCCTCGACAAAAACGACTGATGCGTACAGAAACAAGAATGTACGATTATTCGCCGCAACGCCATTTTTTGGCAGACCCATTGACAATTCGTGGCTCAGCAAATGTTCGGTGAGGGTAAGACGATTGAGTTATTGGAAAATAGTGCATTCATGCTGAATGATTACAATCGTATCGTTACTGTCGAAGATTCCAACAATCACAACGTTCCATATTGCAGTTTTTAGGAGTACTGCAAACTGGTGGATAACAGCGAATCAGCTGATGCTGTCATGTATCATATTCCCGATTATCGTTTCCTTTCTACGAATGAACTAAAATCGAATCAAATAGCTGTTATATGGAGTTTGGAATCACCCATATATCAACATTTGAGTCGGGAACTGAGAGGTGCTCGTTCGTTTCTTTACGATAATGCGATAGCTAAGGCGCATCTCAGATCAAAACTGCTTGTTATTATTATCATTATTGTTACTATCAGGTCGAATCAATTGGACTATGACGTATCGGCGAGACTCGGATGTTTGGTTTCCGTATGGGGTGATAAGGAAACGCGATAAACCGATTCAAATTGATTACGATAAAATATGGCGAGATAAGAAACGAATGGTCGTGTGGCTGGTCTCAAATTGTGGTCATGCTAATGGACGCTTGATATTAGGTCGTGCTCTTCAGAAGTCTGGTCTTGAGGTGTGTTGTACCTTCCTTGCTACTGATCGGTGAATTAAAATCCCAATAAATGCTGATTTCAGTTGGACATATTCGGAGCTTGTGGTCAGCACAAAACACCAAATGACTGTGATGGCGTCAAGAAACAAAGTGATCAGTGTGTAGCAGAGCTGTTTATGTGAGAAATTTTTTCATCATTTTGCGATCGTCTGATGATTCTCAGTGAATGTCTCAACTCCAACGATTGCTTGCTTGCATGTCAGGCCATTATTCTTCTTGATTATCAGCATTTGTTGCTTTTTGTGGTCTTTTGAGATCCGATTCAAGATTCGATTACACACAATTGAATGTAATGAATTGTGATTGTTCGCTTTGAAGTGAATCGTGAAGCATTTCAGGCCCTATATGTTTGCGTTATCGTTTGAGAATTCACTGTGTAAGGATTATATAACCGAGAAATTCTTCGAGGTTCTTCAGAAGAGATACGCCATACCGATTGTTATGCGACGTAAAGACTACGAACATATTGCGGTGAGTCTTTCAGTTTGATTGCAAAAAGGTGATAGTCGAAGGAACACTTCACTCACCATCAATACCAATACAAAATTCACAAGCCTGCGCCTGGCTAGCATTGTTGGTATTTTTTGAATCAAGTCGTGATTTTATAAAAGATATTGCCAATCAATTGAATAATTTCAAATAGGTATTTCAGGCCCCTCCAAATTCTTTCATCGCCGTTGATGATTACAAGAATATTGATGAACTGATCAGCGATATCAAAACGATAGCGAGTAATAAATTCACCTATTTGAAGTATCATCGTTGGAGGGAATCCTACGAAATACAAAGTGATTATTTCCACATCGATGATACTGGATTTTGTGCACTTTGCAAGAAACTTATGCGACAAAGATTTTCACGAAAACATTACGACGATGTGGCTGCGTGGTGGAATTCAAATGAGATTTGCGAGATTCCACAAGACGGATTTGTGAATGAATTTCTGAGCAAGTCTGGCATGGTGGTACCGCAAGTTCGATAACATTGCTGCTGCATATTATTGGCAAAAACAACCTCGAATTACCTCATTTAATAATTTGTGGACCAATCTTCGAACACTTTCAGCTCCGTTCAACCCAAGCAATCTTTGCAAAATGTTTTTTTTTNTTTTTTTTTCGATTACTTTCTCGGTGCGGTCGTTTGTGATTCACTCATAATTTCAGTCATTATAAGCAAAAATCGCCCGTCAGAAATTTTCTAATAGGCTTAATTAATTCGGCAAAAACATATCCACTTGAAAATCAAAACGACAATAAAAACGAAGACACCAGAAAGAATACTAAAAGAAATGCTCAAACAACCGATGATATTGTCAGAGAGCAAAACTTCCGATTACGTTTAGGCGTCTTCCAACTGGCAGGCATAAAAAAGCATCGTTATGAAGCATCGTTACAATGACTAAATAGTTTTATATTGAGAAAGCGTGAAAATTGTTAGTTTTTGCCGAATTATTTCCTTTTATTGTTTTTTTCATTGGATGGGATCATTAACTAACTGTGATAGAATATTGAACTATAAAATGTGAGAATTGTCTGCAATGTTCCGTTTATAAAATCAGCTATTCCAATCAGTTCTTCCGCAGACATGATGAATGGCTTAAATGAGTGTAAAATCGAAAAACGAAATTTCGGTGATATATCTGAGGATGTACGACAAAATCGCGTGATAAAAACACACGCGACACACTCGTACAAACACGCAAATAAAAATGACCCACCAAAGACAGCCAGCATCCCCCTAAATTTGAGAATATGAAAGCAGAACAATAATATTTCCCGAGATTTCGGAGACACGATCTCCATTCAAGAATAGATTTAACGAGGGAAATATATATGTGTTTTTGGAGTTATAACGAAATCGGTCAACTATATGACATACCTCTGAAAATTTAGCAAATCGCAGGGAGTTCGCATTATCCTCGGACAATATGCACAGTATTGTGAGTAGATCTGGTGATGGTGAATAGAAAGCGTTGAATTGCTGAGCAAACCTGAGCACACAGGTACACCTACCTTTACGAGGATAATCCTGATATTCGCATACTAATGCATCACTGATCTCGGAAATACAAGTGTGGCGAAGTGTCGACTCATTTTAGTTGAACTAGTGGATTTAGTTTCAATTAAGAGCATTGTGTTTTTCCTTCGATCTGTTCCAGGTGGGTTCCGGAATGTTTAAGTGACCAATAATCTCAGTGTATAGTATACTGTTCACACGCGTGCTCATTCTATCGTTTTGCAATTGAGAATTACGCAGAGATCGCAGAAAAAATCTTTAATATTCGTTCTCACAAGTAATTCTGAACGCGTGTGTATGCTTTCGAAAACTGTTGTTGTGTTTTTCTTCTAGTCAAAGCATTCGCGAACTATCGTAAACAGTCCAAAAGATTGCCAGACCAAAACGATTCTGAAAAATTATGGAGGTTACTCATAAGAACTCCTGAGTTGTGAAGTAAATTTTTCAATTCTCGCTAACGTCCAGTTAGCTTGTTCAACATCAGGTGTACACTTTTTGCTCACGCAAACAGCTCACGAGCATTTCATGCGGAATAGAACAACGATTTCCGAGATGTGAATAAGTTTTGTGAATCCGGTATAACCTGAGTATTTTTCAGTTTTGAGACTGTATTATTGAAGGCTGAAGCAAATTTGAGCGATGACTACAAATCCTGATCTGAAATCAGTAGATGCTGCAAGAGGTGTTCTCATCAAATGCTTACCGTCATCAATGCAACTTGAATTAGAGCAAGACTTTAAGGATGCAGTTGTCGAGATTTTGAAAAGCACTTTTAGTGTTGATAAAGAAGCCGTCGAAATGATACTCAGATTCCCAACGGTTGATTCCCAAACAGAGGTTTGTTCTACTTCCCTTCACTAGGGAAACATACCATTTTATCTGCAAAAAGATTTTTACCATCTGAAGGATGGCAGTCATGTCATGTGAAACATTGTGTGAAAAAAANAAAAAAATAGCAGCTACATGCACTCATTTAGTGGAATGAAATAATTCAAAAGAACAGTGCCGAAAATTCAAATTGAGCCAACTGTTAGTGAAATATGGTTCTCCAATTCTGAAGGGTTGGAAAAAAGTCAACTGAGTTTCAATTCCAAATCCACCTTAATTTTTTTCTTAATTTTTCATCCATATGGATCTGCAGTGAGCTCTTTTCTCGAACAGTTCGTCACATATAGAACTTAACAACTGCTTTCTGTCATTCAAAATTTGCTCCAATTTGTTGAGAAAGCGAAGAACAGTTCGTATGCGATGTCATCATGCAAGTTTCTTGTGAAGAATTTGCTGGCTTTTATGATTCTGTTGAATAGAAATGATTCTGTCTTGAGAAAATCATTCGACAACGCGAAAAAAGTTCTTGTTGACGTGATCCGCTCTCAAAACATGAAAGGTGCAACGGACGTTAGCCATGTCCAAACGATTCCAGAGATGTTTTTAAGAGTGACTATAGGTTGCATATTTCACATTCAGATCTGTTGTGGCTGATTCATGTTGACTTAGCTGGACCCAGTAACCGTTCATTCAAAAATGTATGGTATAAGATTGGGTGTTCTCGTTCTCCTTATGAGATTATCTTCCTCTCATCATACCCCAAATGTTTTACCCGATCATGACTTCTGCACCAACACAGTATACCATCCACGAATGGACATTCCTAATTCCAAGCATAATCGCTGTTCCGTCATTTGTCGAACCATAGAAGTTTCACGGTAAATATTTAGTCCATCTCATCACTGAAGTGATCGAGATTTCTCGCTGTCATGCTGTGTCGTGACGGGAATTGGTTTTTCGTTCGATCAGTGTTTATTCGGAACAGCAGCAAAATATTGAGATGAATCGAACGATCTCTTATTAACCTTTCCCCATTATTTCTTTAGTCATGCATGCATTATGCACTTCTCATTTGTGGTGAACAAACAGACAGATTGTGTCACTGCATTAAATTCTGCCATAATTGAAGGGGTTCGGTTGCAAATGTTTGATCGTGTTCCGATCTCGTGTACTCAAACATCTCGTAATTGCAAAAAAGTCCCAACTCAGTGCCCCTACGAGTGTTGAATCCATATCCGAGATTCCGCAAGAGTTGTTTGACATCGATGCACCTTCCAACTCGACTAACCAATCAAACAACCACGATGGCATTCAGTCGTGCACCGAGTTGTCGAGTTCTGCACCACTCGACGATGCGTTACCTGATGCATCTAACAGTGCAAATGTTCTATGTCCAAGCGATTCTAATAACACTGGCAATATCGAACACTTGATGAAGATCTCGAACAATGAAGGTAAATTGTTCATCCATTCTGTTGATGTTGCTCTCTCGGTTCCATTTGTGGGTATATCAGTGCATCGATTTCTCGGCATTCGTGTCGTATCCTCATGCAAATTAACACAGTGACTGTATGTTATAAGAGGTTAACTGTTACAGTCCTTATCCTTATCATCATAAGCTGNTACCTGAAGTGGCATTTTTGAGTAAGCATGCTTTTTTTGTGAGTATTTCTATCAGTTATTCTCTAGTTCCTTCCTATGTGAACATTGCATCCTATTAATGTTCATTACTCTGTGTGGATGCCCTGAGAAGATCTCGTTCCATCCGACCTTAATGCAGTCAATCCTTTTGCTCATACACAACACTTTCTCAACGCCATCAATATCATTCTACCCTTTGCTGAAAAGATAAACCGTTTCACTATATGCAGTTCGCGGAGATAGATCGTCATAGGTTAAAATTTTGGATTCTAGAGACGGTCAGGTCAGCCTTGAGTGGAATGGAATTACCAGATTGTATTGGATTATCAGAAGTGATTTATCCAGTTCAAACTTGCATCAGTAGGTCATGCATAAGGGATTAACATTCATTGGCATGTCTTAAAAGTGCAATCAAATTTGTAGATGATCATATGATGGGTCAGGAGGATGCAGAAGTGAAGGAGGGCGATTTGGAAAGCGATCCAATGGAGATTGCTTTAACTAACGGTGATGAGAAGGTTCAGGCGAAAATTTCAATGCCATCATCAACTGATTCAACCAATAGTGACTCTGCGACATATTCAAACTCACAATCAGCAACAAAATTAACTGAAGTGAAGGCGTCTCTAAAGACAAATGGCGGCTATCCAGCATTATGCACATTCGATCAGCATACCGATCAACACTTCATGAGTTTGCCAGTGAACTGGGATGGTGCTCCTGAATTTCAGTGGAGAAGTAAGCCGCACTCTCGAATAGCAAGCACTCTCTTGCGTTTTGCTACAGTCATCTTAAATTATTGTTATTCTCAATATTATGGATTATTCACATGATTTGTAGTACTCAATAAAGCCGAAGAAGCAAATACGCTCATAGTAGAAAATGCAATGCCTGCTGATATGTGGAACGTTTGGATGTATCCATTGGTTTTACGAGCCGAACAAATCATTACAAATTTTCGACGATCGCCCGGCAATGAACTGAACAGTGATGCGATTGGGTTAAGCTTGTTTTTATTACTGATTTCATTATTTGCTTGTCTTGATTTGAAATAATCCTAGTGTTGAATAGGTAATCTTAAATACGTTTGAATGTTGCTTTTGTTCATTTAATTACAGAGCAATTCGTTTCTGTCATACAGCAGATGATCTGATTACAGGAGCATTCGTCTGTTGTATAGCAACAGTCACACCGTCCTTTCATGTGTTATCAGCTATCTTGTGTATGTGCGCACCCCGAATAAACGCCGTTTGAAAGTTTATCTTCCACAATGTAACGGATTTGATTCGTTTCCTTCATTTGAATGGATGAATTTTAATTGTTATTGTATTGATCTTGAATGAGTGTTTAAGAATTAAATCTACAAAACTGTTTTGTTATTAACATTAATCATTTATTCGAATTTATGAATCTATATTTATGAACTTGCAGCGTCTTCGATGTATGAGTACAAAGATGAATTACAAACTAGATTGGGTCGTGTACGCGAACCATCGATTCATATGCGACAGCTTCTTCTCAAACCGATCGGTGAACAAATCACACAAGAACAAATACTTAATCACACACTTCTCAAAAATTATCCATCAGCAACAGTTGAATTCAAAGTGGATGATAGTTCAAAGTAAACGAGAATATATTTCTTGGATATTCCATAACTATTCTTTCATAATTCATAAGTATAGTAGGGATAGACTTAAACATAGACTTAAACCTCTTATGAAATAAACAAAGAATTATATGTTATTCATTTTTTGATTGTTTTGAATAGATCCGTTCTTTCATAGCTATTGGTATCGTGTCATATGATTGGTTCTTATTCGTTTGAAAGGTTGATTTGTTTCGAGTGCATGCTGCGCAATGCTATGCCGTAACTTCATTGCATATGTTTGAGGGAGCGTTATGCGATCCTGACGTACCCTAGTGCCGAGTTGACGGTAGCGTTGCATTCGATGAACAATTACATCCAGCTGAATGATGATGAGAAATGGTTGAAATTGATGCATGCAAGTGGTATGTGGCATCATCGTTCCGCAAAACTTTTTTGGGGTTCGGTGACATTTCGAGATGAATATTTAATATGAGTTGCTTTCCTGTAATTGAGAGGTTTTTACTGGGTGTGAAGTGAAAATTGTTTGAGGCGTTTTCGTTTCCTGAATTTCAAAATGAATATGCTCACAACCAGTTGGTTGTAGCATTGCAGTGAAATGTCTCCTCATTCGAAGCGTGCTCCTCCTTCTTGTCTGGTGAATTACAAACTGAAACAGAAAAGTGCAAAATTAAGAAACAATAGTAATTTTTCAAGAGATAAAACTCACGGGTGATGAGGAACAATCAGAAGGGAATTCTAAAAGTGTACAACATGAACATCAATTGGACAAGCCAACTGAAACCACAAATATATGCAAACAAACGATTATCACTGAAACGAACGCAAACGACGCATCAATGAAGAACGTAAATGCCGCACCCAAACGAGTGCCACCCCAACCGAAACTTCAAGCGAAAACAACTTCAAACAACACCTCCAAAAAATCGAAACAACAAAAGTAAAATGATTTGTTGTCTAAATTCAACGCGAATTTCCAGTCAGCCCTTATATCAGCAAATTGATCTAATGAAATAAGCAATTCTTGTGAGAATATCACAACGACTCATTGTGAAATTGGTCAGCGATGAGTTAGCTGCTAGAACAATACGCAGCAGTATGAATTCATTGCAGTGCTCCTTTATGATCGGCAGCATTGAAATTTTGTGCCTTCAGAAAATCGAAGAATCGAGGTAAATCATCGAAAAAAAACAGCAATTTCTGGCGAACTCTAACCTCGCGACCTGGATCTTCTCGACTCAACACTGGAGGCGCACATCACCATGTGAAGAACATTCCGTCATTGTTGGCACCAGGTGAGTTGTTTTTTTTCGCTGACACTAGGCTGCGTTCTTTTGGTTGCATTGATTATTCATTGTCATCAGAATCTTATTCTCTTGCAGTTGTTGTTCAATAGAATAAAATCATTTCTATATGTGCTCAATAGAAATTTCTTGTCACAATAATTTTCTATTATTGCAGGTCAGCGGAGAGGTGGCGATTTTATAGGCACGATGCAACGCGACTCAACCAATTGTAAGTTTGAAGGGTTGTGTGGACATGTCTCTAAGTTTATAAGAAATGAGTGATTCTTACTGTTGTCCTCAACTGAGGATCGAATACCTTCTGCCATTTTAGCGCATCTTTTCCATTTATTTTTGTAATAATAATGAATAAATGATCTATAGTTTGCGATGGTGCAGCAAATGCTCGTCGATACACGGACGTGTTCGCTTCAAATGCGTTGCGTTATGCAGAGAAGGATTTCGGTAGAGCATCATTACCCACATTTCCACGTCGTGCCCAGCAACCGTTTGCATTCAGTAAGTTGTTTTGTTGTCATTGATGGCCTTTCCGCGAACTCTGTTAACTTTCGTTTTGTTTTGTAACTCGTCAGAGCATACGCCTCTTCACTGAAACCTCACAAATGAACATTTCAGATACACCAATTCATCAACGCATTCCACCCATGAGCAGGTGTGTCCAAATCCCACTTATATGCTTTTGCTTTGCATTTATTGATGAAGAGAATTCGAAAAATGGGATTGTTGTTTTCGATAAGTCTATTTTGATTTTGGGTATTGTTGTAGTGATTTCCCGATGCGATTTGATGAGACACGCGCAAATTCATCTTATTTAAACACCTTTCCTTCGAACCCTACAAGCTTGTCCGACTCGTGGATCACACCTCGTCAAAGGTTCGTTTTTTATTCGATACCGAAACCAGCTAATTAATCTGAATCGATCTGGAATATGAGTCGGTATCAAACAACACATTGAGTCAAACAGCCTT